TTTATCTATTTTATTAATGATAACATTTTATAATTTGCTTTGATTAAAGAGTAATATATTTTATGGATTGAGATTTTTGCTGCATTTGAACTTTCTTATTTTTGTTGAATATCACTCTCATGTTTTGATGAAATAAATTGTTATTGGATATTGTTGATCACTGATAATTGAGGTTAACTTTTCCTCATATTTTTGGTTCCAGCATCTTTATTGGTATGGAATGTAGTATCATATCCATAGCTTTGCAGTGTAGTTTGAAGTATTTTTATCCATTAATTAAATTTCTAGCCTTTCAAAATAAAAACATTACTGTTACACGGGAACACAAAAGTTAAAGATGACAAGTCTACTAGTTGGACTGATTAAAATAAGCCTAAATCAAGAAAGATTATGATTAAGATTACAGGTGATATTGCTAAATTTGAGACTCCAGAATGTGGAATGTAAAGCAATGCTGCTAGGCTGGATACATAAGACACCATTTATTGCAATACCATTTTTCCATTCTGAATGGATTCTTTTGTTAAGAGTTCAGGTTCTGTTCCTCAGTCAGAAAAGCTAGCTTTGTAATTTCCTGCTTCTGATTTTATCCAGACATATTCAAGTCAATAATGATGAGATTCTTATAAGAACAGACACATTGGCAGATGTTCCTTGTTAGGCAGCAATTCACTCTGCATTTTTTTTCCAGTAGGTTACATGTTTCAAGGCATTGATTAAATCTTGTGTTAAAAAAATTACACTTGGAAGGCAAAGGCTTTTTCATATTTCATAAACCAAACAATAACATCATGCTTCTCTTTTGTAATAGATTTTTTTCCCTTTAGTGTCCCAGCAATTTCAATCAAATTCTATAATTCTGTACAAAACCAATTTAAACTTTAAGACTTATTTCTGAGTTAAGGATGGGGTTGTGCTGTCAATATTTGCACAATACAACCCAAACTGGTTTTTTTGTTTATTTCTTGTATCTTTCAGAGTATTTAGTTGCTGTTGCTGTTCAGTTTCCTGTTTTAAAATGTTGCATGTTTTCATTCAATGCTCTTAACTGCCACAATCAATTAAATATGTACTGTTTGTTTTTCAACTACCAAATACAAGCCATTTGTTTACCCAGCTCAACATCTACAGACTTTTAAGAGATTGTTGACATGGATATGTTAGAAGAATTTATAATTGGATTCTGAGCTTGGTTGTCCAATGAAGGACTCAGGACAATTACTTGAAGTTGAGGTAGAGTTTATTTTAAAAGCCAGACAGTGAAACAGACAGACAGCAAGCGAATTGAAGGCAGCCATAAATTAAAGACAGGCAGAAATATTTATAGGGGGGAAGGGGTTTTGGTTCCTTGTTTGTGAATTCTGCCTGCCACTGTGTTTTGTCTGGAGGGAAGGAAATTCAGTTTTTTCATCCCATGAGATACCACCCTTGTCTCTTGTGTGTCTATGTGTTGGATTCTTACTTGTGCTGGAGGACCTGCATTGTGTGGATAAAGGATTTCCATATCTTGAGGGGATTTCTTTAGTTATGATTGCTTTGGTATTTGTCAATTTCCTAATAGGAAATGTGATTAGTTGGTTTCAGCCAATGCGTTAATGCATTTGGAAAGAGCTTAAGCGGTCTTTGGTTTTATTATTTGTGGGTTCACTGACAGGTTGAGGACATTCGAACATTGCAAGTGGAGTGGATGTTGAGGGTGAGGTGGGTGACATGTTCTTCCTACAGATGCTTCTGTATTTTCCTGGCATACACCTTTGCAAGAAAATTTTCAGTACTGCCCCTGGAATCAACTGGTTAGTACTTATAAGTATCCTATGACATCTCCAAATAGTTAGAATTCCATTAAATATATTTTGTTTTTAAAAACCTTCACTGTGAAACTGAGCTGCTCTTTCATTATTTTACCTTGGTCCTTAACTTGGCAGCATTTTTTAAAACCAGAATACCATAATTTGATTTCTTGTTGAACAATAACATAGTACCCATGAACCGAATGGTATGAAATTTGGAAAGATATATCGAAAATAATTTCAATTCTGTAAGAAGTAAAATACTACTAGTTTTTAAAGGAAGAAAAACATTTTGCCCTTAATGCATCACCTTGCAAACTTAAATTTCAGATTGTTTTTAACAAGGATTAAATCAAGGTAGAAAATGAAATATGCTATGACACACAGGGGAAAAAAGCAACTGTAATTTGGTATTTCTCAACTATAATGGGAGAATGTAGAGACTTGAAGTTTCCAGTTGAGTTGCCAGGCTAAGCCTCATTTAATTCATCAGGTAATCATAGTGGAAAGCAGCCAGCTTGGGCCAGAAATAAAGACAAGGTCCTTTAGAAAGTACTGGAGTAGGAATTAATTTAATGCCAAGAAGAAAGTGCCCTCATCAAAGTACACTTCCTGTGTCACACAAGCTGCACCAGCAATGCAGCTACTTCTTCAATTTGCCCCAAATAGCAGTACATGGTTTGGCAAGGTCACTCAAGAGTGCACCTTTGTTTCTGCTGGTAAGCGTGAATGGCATTCTGCCTTTCTTCCTATTATCAGGCATCCTTTGCCAGGGTTTGCTAAGATGATATATCATTGCTGCTTTCTTCTATACCTCTGCCCTCCTTTCCCACCATTACTTTTGCTCTCCAGCAAACAGCTGGGGAGCACAAGGAAGCCATGAACTATGCTGGCCTCACTCATCTGTTTGGCTCTTACTTCACCTCTAACTGGAGTAAGCAGGATGAATGGTAGACAAATGGGGCTGTCTCTTCCATGCAGTTTTCCCTCTCCCCATTGCTGTTCCTCACTACAACAAAAAAAGGCATTTTCAACAAGTTGTTCAGAAAATAGATGACAGAGTTGGCAGAGGAGTCAACAGCCATACATACAAATAAGATACCTTCCTTATTTAGACGTATCACAACTACACTGAGATAAGCAGTATATACATAATTCTTTCTTTAACTTTGCATTCTCTTTACTTACAGTATTTTTTTATACATACATACAAACTCATTTCCAATGCCCTTGCAGACAGCCTTTGGATTAAGTTATTGTTAGTACAGTAGTAGTAGTAATTTCCCCCGTTCAGTCATGTCAAATTTTCAGAAATTGCTTCAACAAGTCCCTGCAGTTGTCTTTTAAAGAAAAGTTTGCCATTGCCTCTTTCCTAGGGCTAAGAGAAAGTGACTGGCCCATGGTCACCCAGAGGGCTTTATACTTAATAAGTTATAATGTTCTGGTTTCTAACTTGATACCTTAACTACTACACCAAACTGCTTCTCACTTTTAGTCATAATGGAGTGTTTATATTTATGTCTGTCTGTCTGTATCTATCAATCTATCATCTATCTATCTAATATATCTACCTATCACCTGTGTATTGGCAATAGCAACAATATCTAGAGAGATTCTATCCTTACAGGTTACTGCATTCATGACTCCATACATTGTAGCCTTATTGTAGTTGTTTCAGTGTGGGGTGTTTATCATTGAATTATTTAAACTGGATTGAATATAGCAATGGAATTGGCTGTCCCTCTAAAAATGAATATTAATAATAATTTTAAAATGCTGTGTACAGTATGTTAAGTTTGATTATGAAACAATTTGCTTTGACAACTCAAAAACCCTATCCCATTTGTAAGTTATAAAACCCAACAACAGGATCTCACGAAGCTCACTTTAGCAAGACAGATTGTAACATTTTTTTTATTAAATATGTAAAAAGATAAACGCAAATCAAATTATTCACATATTCAGAGACAAAAAAGTATATTCTGTCATGCGACAATTGGTGGGTAATGCAAAATGACTGGTACATCTGAATAAGACCTTTTTGCATTTATTATGTCATTATCTATTTATTATTAACAATACATGTTTACATTCCTTTCAGTTTACATTTAATATATAACCAAAGCTTTATGGTGTGTTATTCAGTAAAAGTAATTGCAAATGCATATTAAAACTGTAACGGAATAACAGGATTACTCACCACAGGGGAGGGGGGGGGTCCTCTTTCCTTCCAAGAATCTCTCTCTCGCCTCAGCACAACTGAGCAGATCAGGCTTTATATTAAACTATTACCCTGCTGCCTCCTAAGCCAGCCACTTCCCATCTCCATTTTTTTTTGGGGGGGGGGGAATGTTCGATAGACTAGTCATACAAAGGGGGCCGTAGAAAACCAGATACATTACTCTCCTCCCATGGACACAAAATATTCCTATGTGACAGGATGGTGAGCAGAGAGGCTTTAGATGAGAGCAGTTTAGAAACAAACCTCAAAAAGCCCCAAAAGCGCTTCAAAAGGAAGTATTTTAAAAGTTTTCATAGAAGGAAAAAGAAACAGAGACATGACTGCATTGATGGAGATAGGAGTGTTAAAAATGACTTCCTCTGGTTTGTTTGTTTGTTTTAGCACAAGAAACATTTTGGAGGTGGCATAACGATAATAAATATTATGGATTTTTTTTGTGTTGGATTATGACAGCATACAGCTTTTGAAAAATAATGCTATTTATGAGTTTGATTATGCCTGCCAAGAGAAATCAAATCCATTTCCTTAAAAGCATTAAAATAATTTTTTTTTAGGAAAGGTGAAAGTGTTACTTTATTTGTGATGAGTTGGCATAGTATAGCTTTGTAAATTCTTCTAAACTGAAGAGATGGAATTAAACTTCAGTTGAGCTACAGGGTTAAAGAGAGATTGCAATACATGCTGCCTGAGCTGTAACTATCATTCTGAAGCAAGAAATTTCAGAGAAAAAGAAACTTTGAAATATGCAACACATCACTTACAGTAATAATAGAACTAGCATTTATGACCAGATGTAGAATAGGGTTCACCGACAAAAGGGCAAATGACAAATCCGCACCCGACTAAACCGCGGTGACAAAACCGCGTGTTCTAAAGCGCTCCGACAAATGAGCACTGAATCGCGCCGACAACAGCGCAGCGACAGAAGCGCGCTATAAAACTAAACCTAACCCTAAACATAACCCTAACCCTAAACCTAACCCTTACCTTAACTTAAATCGGCTTTCTGTAGACGCACTGTTGTAAAGCGCCCTTCTGTCACCGTGCTGTTGTTGGCGCACTGTTGTTGACGTTGCAGTTTTAGCGATGCGGTTTTGTCGGTGCGCTTTTGTCGTGCGTGCTTTTGTTGGATCACGCTAGAGTAGACTGAGACCTTCAGTGATGATAACCGGTACAATGAATTCTATTTGTTTTTTGCTAGAATACTTATAACCAATCCAATTTAAAACCGAGCAAACATAAAACAGTGAATACAATGGAAAAATACTATAATTAGACTGTAAAAATATGCAATTTAAATAAGGAATGTTTAATATGATTTATTTCTATTATAAAAATGTCACAATCTAAGTGCAAATTTAACTAGAAGTTAATAGAATGCATGGCAATGATTATTTCTGTAATCCAGCAATTTGTTTTTCCATGCTACCAAATCCATTCATCCGGACTAAAATAATGATTAGCTTTTCTTTCTGGATAAAATATCCCCACTAATACAACCTGGAAGCTAGCATTGCATCTGTGTGTACTTGAGTTACTCACCGACTTTTGGATTCCAAAAAGTTGTATGAAGATCTTTAGAGGATTAACTGTGCAACTGTGCTAGTAAATATTCTGACATGCCCAACCACTAGTTTCTCCTCTTGCACAGAAGAAAAAGTAAAAGTTTTTTTTTCATAATCAGTGTAGCCAGCAGTGGGAATTAGAATATAGGTGACATCTTCAGACATATATACTGTAAAGATCTGTATAAATGCTTAAATTGACAAACATTGAATATAGAATTGAAACAGGAATAACCTTTTTAGAAGAAGGAAGTATCCAAAGAAAGATTAGGCAGGCATGTATGCATCTTCCAATATTATAAGATACACTGTATAGCTTTCTAGCATGCTTTGGATTATGACATCAGAAACATTACAGCTCTAGCATGTGTGCTTTTGTTCTAATTAGGGAAAATTATTTGAAATTACTTGAATTTATCTATTTCAATTATTTTCCACTTTTGCCTTTTGTCCAAAGTAATGTCCATATGCACCGAATTATCATGAAATGTGTGAAACCTAACTGAATAGTACTTTTTGTTTTAAGGGATGCCCATATAAATAGTTTTGAACAAATTACAAATGTTATTCATACTTAAGACAGAAGGAAAAATAAATATATATATATATATATATTATATTTATATATATATTTTTAAAAGTTGAACAAATTTTAAGCAGCCAGATAGTGACGTTGCAGTGGTAGAAACTGGGAACAAAGCTTGCAGACCTCCTTAGGTACAAATGCTGATAGAAGACTTCTGCAAAACACATCTTGGCAAGTTGGCTGACACTCACTATGGTACATTTATGTTAATGGCAGACAGAGAGTGATTGGTTTCAAGTCTGAGGCCACATACATTCCATTCTTCCAAAGAAAGTTCCCACAGAAAATCAGAAACAGCCAATGTGCCAGATGGTCAGTATTCTTCCTGCTGCTGGGGCTGTTCATGAACCTGTTCTTCACCATCATGTTCTTCTGTGTGGCTCTCCTATACAAGGTGGAAAACGAGAAAAACAAATAAACAAACTTGATCAAACACTAAAAGCAAAATTCTGTCTGCTTATCTTTCTAAAACAAAATATTAATGAGTTCAACATTTATTAATCTTTACCACATAGATAGTTAAAATCATTAGGAGTCTTATAAACATTTCCTAATTACTCACATTTTTATTTTAATTTAAAGCTAGGATTATGTGTGAAGAAGAGAGCTTGAAACCTGTATATAGGGAAATTGAGTTTCAAATGTGAACATGATTCACTGGGAATCACGGAATGGTAAGCTGACATTTTTCTCTATCTGAATTTAGGATCTAATCAATATCAACTCCTCCAGAATATTCATAATTCTTTTATGGACTAATTTCTGCAAAGAAATTCTATGCCTTAACTAAAACCACTTTGTGGAATAACTACCATAGAGAGACAATATTGGAAGACCTTGAATATGAATGTTACCCAATTCCATTAAAACTACATTATTTATGCTATTGCGTAGAGGAAAAAATAGACAATGAAGACTTACATGTTCTTCTGAAGCATACAGAACTTCCATTAACCGTTGAACAAGATCATTGTTTTCTTCTCCGTGTTCTTGACATAGAAGCTCAATCTCCCTTAATTTCCCAAAATAGAAATCTCTCTCCTTTTCCACACCTTCAAGTGCAAGTTTTAATGAATGTACCTGTGAAAATAAAACATTTAGGTAACTGTGTATTTATATAGCAAAACATACAAAACTGCATAATTGCTAGGGAAACAATGTTCACATGCATTCAATATGTTGGCAGAGCGCTCAGGCCACCACAGGTACCCCTGACACGAATGATGAGCTGGCCACGCCTCCTGGCCACACACCCCTGAGGTCAAACAAAACCCTCAATGAAATTGAGTTTGACATCCCTGCCATAGACCTTCTGTTCATAAAACCAGTAGTATATGGTTTTCTTGGGGAAAGAGGGTCAAATGACTATATTTTGGGTTGTTCAACAAGGCCACCCAAATATGTACTCTTAGAGGACATTGATTTATGTTATACAATTACTATAATGATATAATGAGATATCACTTGACTAAATGTTTACAAAGCATGTTATCATCCCAGGTTCCTCCGCTGGCATAAAAATAACTAAGGTAATTGGTTGAAGATGTAATGATCTTCCAAGTAGGTCAGCAATAACCAGTGTTTAATTGTTGAAAACTGCTATGGTTATCTGCTTAGAATCATACTACATTTTACTGCCTTGCTCAAATGCAGAGGTATTTCCTGTTTTGGTGACCTAAGCATATTACCTGTTCGCTGAGCTGTATGACTTGTGTCTCCAAATCTTTATCAGATTTTAACACTGAACTGCTTGGTGGTGTTTTTTTTGCTGATGATGGACGAGATGATGTGGAGCCAGGTTTTGATGCAGGACTGGATTTGGCAGCACCTGAAAAAAAAATTAAAATAGTTTTTAAAATATTAGTTAGAACCAAGACTCCTGTCATTTAAGAAACCAACTGTGATGAATTTGGAGAATGAGTATGTAAAGCATTGTATGATTTACTGGGCAATGAACTTTAGATATACAGTAATGCTTGAACAATGGGAGAGTATGTGGACAAAAGGTCTAATATTCACATTAAATTATAATTTAAAAGAATGTGATATGTAACAGCTGAAAAGTTGGCAAAGCATATGGTAAGGACTTGGTCCAGAGACTCATGCCAAGGTTGTGCTAAATAAGGAGCTGCCAGCCGGCCCAGGTTACTCCAGGTCAAAATCCCCAGCCTGCACCTACTTTGCTTTTGCTTGCTTCCCAGGAGGCACCAGCACAAGCAGCTGTTTTGCAAGATCTTAGCTGGCAGCTGTAAGAAAAGAGCAAGCTGCATTTGGTGCACAGAATCCTGGTAGGCAGATTGGGAATACACATGGAAATGTGTTATTATGAGCTGAGACTGCTGAAGCCAGGACGCACAGGGGCAGAGAGCCCAGCAGAATGCAGACTGCCTAAAGTGCAGAGATGAGGTGAAGATAGGCAACTGGGGAGGCTTGAAGTGGAGGCAAGCTCAGCAGGACAGGAAAAGTCTGAGATCCTCACCTAACAATGGTATGATCTTGGCATAACAATCACTGGGATTACTGAAATGAAACGCTGTTGCCAAGGGGTGCAGTTTACTTAATATCCACTTCGCTTAGAAATGGAAATTCCAGACCCAATTAGGGTCCTTCAGATTGTTTGGTATTATTTTCCCTTATATAACTTTTGCTTATCTCTTCTCCCACAGAACTAGAAGAATCCCTTTTCTTGTTCTTATTGAAGTAGCTGAAATGTGTGTATCATTTGTTCAGATAATTTTTAAAAAGTTGTTCAGAAAAAAATGGAATCTAGTAGAGACCTCAGTAATTGTCTACTTACAGTAGATTCAGGACAGTTATCAATGCTATACTATTGGCAAACTTCTAAGGATGTGTGGAAGAGTACTCAAATTGGAAATGCTTCCATTGCAAAATGTTCTATTCAAGTTTGATTGAAACAGTCCATGTTTTGCTCAAAACAGGCAATTCAAACTCAAAACAAGGCATTTTGAATTTGAAACAGCTCAAATTAGAAATGTGTTCCACATGCCTAGGGCAGTGATGGCGAATCTTTTTTGGCTCGCATGCCAAAAGTGAGGGGAGTGCAGGGGGTCATGTGCGGGCGTGCCACACCCATAATGCTTTGTTCATGACCCCAGTGCACATGCACGCACGACCAGAGCTCCCCCCAATTTTGGCGTGTTTTTCCGCCCTCCCCAGCCTCTAGATGCTTTATAGGAGTCTGGGGAGGGTGAAAACAGCCCCCTGCCGCCCTCCAGAGGCCCTCCGGAGGCTTCAGGAGCTTCCCTGAAGCCGCTGGAGCGCAAAAAAACGACCCTGCGGGCAAACTTGAAATTCAGGAGCGGACTTCTTGTTTGCTCATAGGGCCGGTTTTAGTCCTCCGGAGCATTCAGGAGCCCTCGGAGTTTCCCTGAAGGCTCCATAGGGCAAAAAAAGATACTACGAGGAATCCAGAAGTGATTTTCGGGTTGCTCGTAGGACCGATTTTCGCCCTCTGGAGCATTCAGGAGCCCTCAAGAGGCTTCCCTGAGGCTCCGGAGAGCTAAAATGGGCCCTACGAGCAACTCAGAAATCACTCATAGTGTCATTTTTTGCCCTCCGGAGCCTTCAGAGAAGCCTCCTGAGGGCTCCTGAATGCTCCGAAGGGCTAAAACCAGCCCTACGAGAAAACCAGAAGTCCGTTCCCAAAATTCCGGCTTACTTGTAGGGGCGGTTTTTCGCGCTCCAGAGGCTTCAGGGAAGCACCTGAAGCCTCCAGAGGGTGAAAGAAGGCCGAGGTCAGCTGACCAGCACATGCATGCGCACTGGCCAGCTGACAGGGCAAGCCTTGCATGCCCTGACAAATGGCTCTGCTTGCCACCTGTGGCACGCGTGCCATAGGTTCGCCATCACGGACCTAGGGGCTTCCATATTATCTGATTCAACATTAATTAGAATGGCCTTTCTCCTCATTGTGCCTTTGAAATGCAATAACTTTCAATCCTCAGCTGATAATAAAGCGATGTGGATAACAATTAAATGTTACAGAAGCCATCTAAGAATGCATTATATATAAATACATTCTGTTAAAAAATATTATCAAATGTCAAGACCCTCACTTGACACCCCCCCCCACCTGAAGCCCCTACAAACAGAAGAACACTGACACTGACATCCACTAAACTCCACTGAAGATGTTACCTAGCCTGGTAACAAAACACTCGGCAACCAACCCACAAGCTCGGAGAATGAACCTTCACACTGAGAAAACCAATATATCTGCTGAAAAATGCTTCAACTCACAGAACTGTACTGTTTTCAACTGGCTCTATTATTTTGCTTTTCTAATTTGAAGAATCCAAACATGGAGAAGAAATAAACTAGTCTCGCTAGCCAGACTGAGGAAAAAAACTGAAGAATCATCAAAAGGAAGTGGCATGGCCAAAGCTTTTAACTCCTCAGTCTCTGACCAAATAGACAGAGGATAACCCATGCTTGGACTTTCCAAGCAGCGCATAGGAAAAGGGCGGCATACAAATAAAGTAAAATCCTAAATCCTAATCCTGTTCTTCTTGGGGCAGCTCCCTGCCAAGTGTCCAAGATCCCCACAGTAAAAACACAACCCCTCCCCACATCGTCTGTCCATCTCTGTCCGTGACACCCGAGGTCGGACAGCACCCAACTCCATGGGCTCCTCCCAGTCCACTGCAGTCTCTTGCTGAACTGGCATGCTGGTGGTTTCCTGGAATACCTGGCGAGGCCTTCACCTCTGCAGCCAGGCATCTATCCGGAGACACAGGTGGACCAACGTGTCGAATGTCGGTGGCCTGTCCACCCTCGCCAGTTCATCCTGCAAGGCCTCAGAAAATCCATCCTGGAACGTGGCCATTAGAGCTGGTTTATTCCACGTGGAAT